GCCTCTGGGGACACCAAAATGAAAAAGTAAATCGGTCCCGGGCCTAAGTCTTACCATGAGACCTACGGTAATAGCTACTTCCCTATAGGGAAATTCGCTAAAATCGTGTATAATATAATATACAATACCATGGATTAAAATTCAGTGGTATCCGGGGAAAAATCGTGCCACCACCTTTAACTTGATATTAAGATATCTAATGACATTTTTCTATCTTCACTGAGGTCAACATGTTCTTATTACGAGTATGAGTCACCGAGCAAGTCATTATTCAAGTAGATCCTTAAAATAACCAAACTACTGAACCTTCTAAGTCTATCATCCTCTTTATATTTGATGATGGTTTAAGGTAGGTTATCATCACATGTAGGACGCGTTTGAGGGGTTATATTATTAATTTCTTCTTTGTTTAAAAACCTCAAAACTACTACGACGAAGAAATACGGCAAGAAGTCATTTTGTTAGTTGTTATTTGTTGTCTGTTTTATTTTCACAAAAATACTCATTGTCATATAACCTCAAAAGTTAAACGGCCACACTCAAACGTGGTAGACATAAGTACTTTAAAGCTATTGAAAAATAAAAATCGCACAAAGGATATTATGACAGGGTTAAACTCCTACTTGCAGTACTAGAAGAAATTATAGTTCAACCAATAGGGAGTAAGCAACTTAAAAACAGAAGGTTATTGGGATATAATTTTCATATATAATTGTTTTAATAATTGAATATAAATAAGTTCTTTATCAGCATCTGCCATATTATTAAATTACCTGAAAGCACAACAAATACGTCAAGTAACACTTAATAATATTTACACTTATACTATTTATTCACAAGACAAATGGATTAATAACGGACGGTAAGTAGTGATAAATATTGATTGGAGACATATCACTTGACATATGTCTAGTTGGTTATTATTTTTTTTTTATTATATTATACTCCATGGAATCTGGTTCAAAACGTTTGCTCTGTTTCAACATATGTTCAACTCTTTTGTTTTACGTTATTTTAAAACGTGAAAACCTCATAGCAAACTATAATGTCCATGTTAAATTTTAAAAATTTGATATGTAGGGATAGTGAAAACAGATTTTCCACTGATCTAGCAGATATTCTTATGACTACTATTTAGTTACAACGTAAGTAAAAGCGGGTTTCTGGGTGCCGAGTCCGTGAAAAAGTAACAGATGTTTATTTTACTTATATTATAATTGGACATGATTTTATACTAATAAGAAAAATATGATTTAAAACTAATCTGTTATGTTACATAAATAATGAAGATTTCCTCTCTCCAAAAACTCTGAAAGAACTTGGATATTTTGGAAAGGTATTTTAGGGCGTTAAAAGTTTACAAGAGATGGTCACTGAAACACTCCAACAGCAAATTGGCCTTAAGTGAACACGGTGGGCCACTTTGCTATATAAATCAAATATGGTACTTCCTAAAATCTATCTTTGCAATAACGAAACAGCTCTTGACTCTACTTTAGTAATACAAAAAACACTATCAAACTTACTAAATTAGCTTACTATTGAATTAAACTACTCCGTATTGCATTTTTTAACCCATTTAGAAAAAAAAACTTGTGGTTCTGTGCATTTTAAAATGTGCACTTATCTTTATTTCCTTATCTTTGTCTTTTATTTACTATACAGGTTTTAAACTTCATTTCCTCTGGCCCATTATACTATTTGAAATTTGTTTTATCTATCTCAAATACTTATTTTATTTCTCAAATAATAAATAACATCCACCAGCCATCCTTCATATTATATACGTATAAATACGAAACTAACAAAGAACCAGATTTACTAGAAACCAGTTTTTTAGCAGTCTTGTATTGTGTTTTATGTAACGACACATTTCTTAACCAAACAAAAAGTGAGAAACAATCACATAAAACAATTGATATGAGATTAAAGTTCTTCACATAAGTTTAAACATTATATCGTTTTATGACAAACACTGATGAGAGCTGGCTGTAATAAATAATAAATTTTACTCAGGATATTGCAGTGTGGATCGTTTCATCCTTTAACTGCCACTTGGCTTTATTGTGGCAGTAAACATGACTACATCAAACTTTTATTCAAGACACAGGTGAGGTGCCTGTATTTCTTGAAACCTTTTTTCCTTAAAGGCTGTACAAGATGTAATTTTGATTAAGGTTTTAATATTCGGTTTTATATTTTTTTAGAATTATTTTAAGATTAGTTCAAATTATTTGTATCAAAAAGTTGAAAACTGTTCTATTGTAGTGTAGTCATAAGATGACCCAAAAAACCTATTCCTGAATCATTTGTTCTGGTTAAAGGACACCCTGTATAATCATAGGCCGATACGTCTTTAATGAAGATTTGTTTGATTGAAAAAATAATAAAATAGAATTATCTAAAACAAAGTTAAAAATCTGGATTCAAAACTTAAAACTTCAAAATCTTAAATTTGATAATTTAAAATTGTTCCCATCCACGTATAGGCCTAGGTTTCAGTCCAAATCAAAGTAGGACTCCAAGTCTCAATGTAAAAAAAAACCACGCCAAACCTAAAAATTCAATAACCAGATTTCCAACATCCCAAAGTTTTAAATTAAGAACAGAATTTAACAAATGAAATTCTTGTCTAATTTCAAGACCAAATGACAGTCAAAATCGAAATCCATAATCACAAAATCCAAAATCCATATATCTTATATGCATGATTCAAAAACTCTTAACTTAAAATCCAAAATTCAAAATCAAAAAAAAAAAAAAAAAAAAAAAATCCTATCCGCGTCTATCTTTGAGTCAAGGTCAAAGTCAAGCTCGAAGAGAACGCCCAAGCGTACGTCGAAAATAAAAAAATCTCAGACCCCATAATCCACAAAGCAGAATCTAAAGTCTTATAATAATAAATCAAAAATCTCAAAATCCGAAAATTCCAAATCTAAAAATCCTAAAATTAAACACTAAAAAAATTTAAACTCAAAATTCTAGGACTATCTAAGTACAAGTCCAAATTCATGTCATGACCGGCTCCAAGTCCACGTCGAAGATCAATATGTCTCATATCCCGAAATCCGAAATACCTGATTCCAAAATTGATATTCTACAATAAAATTTTACTAATTTCAAAAAGAATTTCAATTCTAAATTCTTAACGAAAATCCCAAATAAAAAAAATGCATATTGAAAAGTTTCTTACCTACGTTTAAGTCCGAGTCCAAGTTCATGTCCAGGCATGAAATATACTTAAACAGTTTGTTATAACAAATATATTTAAACCTTTATACACAGATACATTTCTAAAGAAAAACTATTATATTATTACAAACAATAATTGAGGTTTACCTTTTAAAACGTACGTGCAATCGGGAAATATCTCTTGGGTAATTTATGGTTTTACAAATAAAGAATGTCGTTTATAATTTCTTATATAACCGAACTTTAAATTAAATAAACAAATATTTTGGGATATTCAACATTTTTGAAGAAACAAATTTATATATTTAAAAGTAATTTTTGTCATCCAAAATTTACTATGCTCAGTCCAGTATATTCCGTTACATGTAATCCAGACTTAAACGTAATAGGTTGTATATCGTAAACCAAATTATGGTGGTGTCATGCTATCAAGTTTATGACCACATAAGATCGTCTTCCAGTTTATCATTCAGCAAAATCCGACCTCGTAAAGAAGGATCGATCCACCACAGGACATCATGTTAAGTTTTACAATTTGGGTTTATCCAATGGTTTCTTTAGTCATAAATATTCTTTTGAAAGCTATTCTATATTTTATTCGTCTCGTTACTTTACAAGCCAAATAATATTATTTGATTATCTACCGATGATTATTATTCACCTATAGTTTATCATTGTAATTATTTATTTTAACTCAAGAATCAGACTTTTCGTATTTGCACTTTCTAAAAGATTTAATTACCGGTTTATAATAAAATTGGGATGGTAAATAACTAATTTTACTTTAAAATTAAATCGAATATCTAAAACTTATCATGATAAGTACAACCGTTGTTGAAAGCGGTGAAAAAAGAATAAATATTTTAATAATTCCTTTTGTAAAATTTTGTAATGAAGGAAGTATAAAATACAAACATAACAGATGACACAATGCGTTTATACATGACTGATTGGTCCGAAGAACTAATATAGTGGTTGAAGGCAACTTACAATAACTCAGTTAGCACCAGACAAAATAAGTTAAGAAGATAATATTGTAGGTATATGTGAATATTTGAGGTAATTTTACTGAGATTCGTTATCATTTTCATATGGACATTTGTGGAAGCATTTCCTACGGTTATTCGCCTTGATAATACTATTATTTCCTTGTTTGCTTGATAATTAAACCTACAGCGTCTTACAGGCAATAGACAACCGACGTATGGAACCCCTCCAGTGTTCAGCAAAGTGCATGTTGCTAGAGTAATGTCTATCAATACTGATTAAATATTTGTGCCTCAAATCAAACTTTTTTGAGAATAGGACTCTTTAGATTCAGACATATCCCCAACAATTTAAGAGGATTTGATATTATCCCTTTGTAATTGTTTTTAGTAACTTTTATTTAAAGTATACCTATGTGGCGTCCCTATTCCAATGATTGATCATTCGTAACGTTCAATACATATTTACAGTTTTGTTCGATAGTGTCTTATCAGTGGAACTTTAAATGAACAACAAACGGTGGCAAGTATAAATGATCAAAACCTCTGTCTTTTACGTATATGGCCCGAATCCCCGTCCGTCTCACATAAAAATCCTAGACACTATATCCACTTGGCCAGCAACACACTCTTACAATCCAAAAAAAAAAAACAAATTTACGACGATGCTCAGTGGTGAGACTTGCTGTAGCCTTAACTTTACCACCTTTGATAACACAGGGGTGGTTCACGGGGGCAGCTAGAGACGGCCTGTGGTGGGCGAGGGGGCGGCGAGCAGCGCGTCGGAACGCCAGTACCACCCGCACTGTCGACACCATCACCGCGCCCCTGCGCACTCTCGTTCACGTGCGTGTGTGAGTGTTATAGTGTAACATGGAGTCCTGTACAGCACCTTACTGTCTGGCTATATGTGTCATCTACGTACTCAGTCTCATGTGTCAAGGTAAGATCACAAATTTATGTTTTGTTTCTTTTAAACTTGCTTAAACTTTTTTTGAAAATATAATTACTGGTTAGCCGTGCAATTGAGAAACCAGAAAGGAAATTAATTCAGGACCTTAGATAATTGTTTGTTTAGTACTGTAATCAAGGTAATACATTACACCGACGCTGTAGATGGCGTCAATTAGCAAGATGACCAGGATTAGCATGATTAGTTACCTTTTAATTTGTTTGTGAAAAGTCGAAAAAGGCTAAGATATCCTTAAAAAAAGATTATTGTATTTAATGTTTGCTTCTTTTATTTCTTATATAGTAGTTGGATAAAAATGAGCATGGATACCTCTATACCTTCGCAGGGTTACTGTTTCCGGTTAAGAAAGTGTTTACTAAGTCCCAAGCAACAGACAATTAGTAAGTATTCGATGACGAGAGTTTTGAAAGATTCCTAATGAAGTATCGATAAAATTGGCATTTTTTTAACATTCCGCTGATTGGAATGCGAAAGGTGAAATAACGTGACTTAATTTTCCACGTTTACTTCTCTAACTTTTTAATGTGACAAGACTTTTAACTTTTAGATGAATATATGTTGTACATTATGCTTGAAATAATTCACTATAGTTAGAAAAAGATAGTGAAGCACGTTTTCAAGTTTATCGCATGTGCTTTGGAACGTTTTGTTTTTTATCTGATAGTTATTTAAAATGCAAAGTTGAAGTAAAAAAGGAGTTCCCTTCCGCAACACTTTAAAACACCTACATAAATACGTGAACGCAACATCGCTATAGTACAAACTTGTTTTGAAACCAAGAATAGAGTAATTACCAAGAAACGAATAATATACATATGTTTCTTAAAATACTATGATGTGCAATGGATTTAAATCATCTCTTCAAATAATACCACAGATTATTTTTAATCAATAAACACAAAAATTCGATAGTACAAGTTTGTGCGTACCTTGTTTTACGCTTAGTTTTAACTGTATTAAAAAACAATATGATTATAAAGAAGGGAAAGTAAAACTTTGGCAATTGTAGGGTCCAAAATAGATAATGTTGTAAGAAATGGTTTTAGAAAGTATCCTTTCAGAGAGTATCATCACCTTGTTCAGTATACATTTATTTACAACCAACAACATTTTTGTTATTTCAATAAAAAATATTTAAAAAAAAAATTTCCATAAAAAATAATTATACTTTTCATCTGAAAACAAAATTATGGTATTTATCTAGAAACGATTTCAGATAAAGTTAAGTAGATTTCTTTACAATATCAACCCAGATATTCTTTGAAGGTCGTGCCCTTTGATATGGAAAACTCTCCAAGTGTTTGACTTTGTAAAGGGTATTTTATTCAAGAACAGCGAGTTAGTCTCCCTAAGGAAATCAATAGAGGAAGTTAATTTCCTTAGGATCAAAGTCTGCCTTAAGCATCAATGAAGAGTCTGCCTTTACCCACGGTTAACTACTAACTTTGCAACAACTAACTCCTCTCCTAGAGTGGCGGATCGGAACATGCTCACAAGAATATTGATATTCTGATTTGGTGCATATTGAATTAGTTTTGTATGAAATAAATGAATATAAACTATAAATTCGCAATTTGATATGATCTTTTTACATTGTTGTGTTTAGTATCAAATATTGCTATGGAACACATACATTTTTAAATTTTCATTGTATTGATTGGTAAGTTTTGTACTGCAAAGTTATGAAATTTCGTAACACAAAAGCTTATTATGCTCACGATTAAAAACCGTGTAGTAACCACTGAATTTAATACTCAAGTCAGTATTGCTTTAATGTATCAGTTAAAATCTATAATCTGAAAATATTAATATTATCAAACTTCTATACAAAATGCGTTTCAAATGGAAAAATACTCTTTAGTGATTAATTAAAAACACCAATGTACCAAATATGGGCCTTAGATACACCACATTTTATTTACCATTTCAGTTTCAAATATCGTTCAAAGGCATTGAGTTAATAAGGTTCCAATAATCTCATTGTATATGGCATTATTTTTTGAGGAAATTCTAAAATTTTCCTTCTGAAGGTTTTGTAATTACGGGTTTTGTTTACTAGAAAATCGTAAAATTCCAAGAAACATGTTGACGAAACCTTTGAAACAGAAGAAAGACGAGCTAATGTCTAATTACGACACTATAATTCCTTCTTAATGAAGGGTTATTTAGAAGTTGTCAGAGTATTTATAACAGTCTTTTGTCCTCTTGGCTTGAACTCAAAAAAGTCTTTCAATGAAAAATAAAACGGAATTCTCCCGCAAAAATAATTTATAATTTCCAAATTGTATATTTATGTGTTACTATATAATGACTTGGAAACTGTTTAGACAGATTTTTAAAGATAAATTAAAATGTAATCTATAGGGAAGATGTATTTTTTTTTTAGGCTCGTCTAGAATATGGTTAAAACAATGCGAATCACAAAAAGTGTTTACTTGTATAGATTTTATATTAACTTCAAGATGTAGTTATGAAGGATGTTTATAAGATGGTGTATAGAACCAGCTAACTAAGAAAAAGATTTAATCTTTTAAAAATCTTAGAATGGCACTAAGAAATCATTTAAACAGTTAGCATCCTTGCTAAATAAAATACGACGTCAAATATATATTAAATTATACATTTTTTCATGTGTTTATTGAATGACCTGGTTATTTTTTGACACTTCCAACACTTTGTTATTATTCATCTATTTTATTTAAATTAAATACGTTATGTAAGCGTAGATTGGAAAGAGTGCTGATGTATATTTTAAAGAAGAAAAATAAAACCGGTACACCGCAGGCACCCAAAGTGACAATGTCGAGGTCTACCCCCTACCAGGCCCGGCAGGGTGGCTCTTGGCATGCATCGAAATCGTTTTCTGATTTCCAATATTCATGTTGGTATTTTCTGAAAATTTAAATTTCAGTTATGTTCCATAATATATCATTTTTTCGTATAACCTTTCAAACGTTGCAAGTAGGTGTAAAGGTAATAAACTATAACTAAAAGAAAAATTATCTAAGGTTTAAAAGGTATGTCCATTCCTACGTATAAAATCAGTATGTCATCGGTATGTATTGTGAACAAAGCCATGTGAATATAATTTAAATGGTAATTTAAAATTACTCATTTTAACAAAGGTAGCCATTTAATTTTAAAATTTTGCTATAATGTAACATAGTAGTTTCTTAATCAGCATAGTATGAGTTATTAATAATTGTACGAACAGTACATCAAATAGTTTTTATTACTCTTGAAAGATATTTTTAAGTCTTATTAGAAGATAAGTAAAAAATATCACGACAGCTTAACGAACGGTTGTTTAAAGATGTCAGGGTATAATCCTAAACATATAAATACATAGTTTTATATGTTTAGGAAAATTTAACTATCCTACTTGGCTTGGTTTAAAAAAGTATTTAAATATAGGTAAAATAAGATACAATATATGTATTTAAAGAATTTATTCTGAAAGCAAAGGTGTTGAAGTAGGGCTTGTTAGTATTAAAACATATTATATAATTTTGCTTTTAAACATCACAGCACACTGACAACTCTTAGAACTTTTAAAGCCGTACAAATAACCAAAGTGAAAATATTATGAGAGTTTGAGCTGCAAAATTGAAAAAAAGGCTAACCCTTTTTCACCAGTTCTTTACGGAAGGCTTGCAAAAGGGCAGCAGCATTTCTCTTCTGTAAGCCACACTTCAAAGACCTTTCTTAATTAACCCAGAAGCTTGGGTCGAAGTTATGAATATTTTCACCGCTTCATTGGATTGCAAAGACTTTGAACGTTGAATATCTTTCCTAATATCCACTATTCCCGTGATGCATGCGTCATTTTATACCCGTTGTATTTACGGTATGCTGTTGAAATTATAGTTTTATACGTTATATTATCTTATCTTAAACAACTCTTGAAAATAAAGTTACCGTTTTCAAAGGACCTAGGGAATGGCGTAGGTTTTAAAAGAAGGTGTTTTTCTTGCTGGTATTCATGGATATGATATAATCGTATATAACTATCTTCCTTAAAATTCACTCGATATATGAAGTGATACCTTTTGAAAATGTTAACACTAAAATTTGGGGTTTTAAATGCAAAAAGGGAATTTTGAATTGACAACAATAACGTTAAGTGTGAACATGTTTAGTAAATATTTGCATTGTGAAACACATAAATCATCGAAAAAAACGTGTATTTTATTAATTCAATACCATTTTAATGAAACTTTGCACTTGAAAACTTAGTGTAGGCCAGTGTCGTCTTAATCCATATAAATAAAATTAGAGTTTTGTCTGTACATTGCTCAGAATTATATGTTTTTAGGTTATTTTTACGTTTTATACTTTAAAGAAGCAGAAACAAGTCTTATCTCTATTTCTGTCTGTCTGTCTGTCTGTAACACTCAAGATGGCATTTTACGCAATCTTCTCCATGAAAACCAGAGTACCTATGAAGATCCAAGTCATTTTAATGTATTCACTGGATTGGCGAGAGTGTCTTTAGCCATTAAAATATGGCCTCACTACTTTGTAAATAAAATTACGGACAATCATTGATTGTGTTTTGTCAATGTTGAGTTTAAGTACGTAGTTTGTGGCATACTACAAAAAATTATGCATGGTTGTGTATACCTTTTTACTATGACAGTATACCAATTAAAAGTTTACCAAAAATGAATATAATTTTTAAATTTGACAAATAATATATTCACGTTGAAAATATAATCATTCAACCAGTGCAGTGTACCTACCGAACTCGATGTTTTACTTATAAGGAAACATAAAAGATCACCCTTATAAATATAAAGTGTGAAATTGGAATTCATCGACAAAAGGTGACAAAGGATATTGAAAACAAAGGAAATATTATCACAGGATTTGTGATATTCCAGGAAATTAAAGTTGACACTGAACAAGACTGAGGTACGGATAGCATGCATATATCTTTGTAAATGCATTCTCCTTAACACATTTTGTGT